ACCTGCCCGATGGCATTTTAGAGCGAAAATATTTTCACAACACCTTGAACCAAATTTCGCTCAAAGGAAGCATTTGTCAAGCGAAAGTGTGGGTACAAAAATTGTTTAAAATCAGATTCCCTGGAATATGAACAAAGGATTTTTCAAAATTCGTTAAACCAGACTTTTAAGTTAAATTTTAAAATTTTAAAAACCGTATTTTTCAGTTTAAAGAATGAATCGAGTGTAATGAATTTTGGAAATCCTTCGTTCTTATTCCAGCGAATCTGATAATGAATAACTTTTGTACCCACACTTTTCCTTGATAATGCATCCTTCGGCGAAAATTTGGTTCAAGGTGTTTTTAAAAATACTTCTCGCTCTAAAATGCCATCGGGCAGGTGAAAGTGGAATAACTCAGTCAAAGCTTGACCGAACTTTTTGTAGATACATCTTGATGTCCTCTATCGATTGACATCAAAAACGAGATTAAATATAGAAATCTGAAAATTTTATTAAACTTTTAAAAATGATGTTAAATTTTTGAGAAAGGGACTGTTAAAAAAATTCTAATGAATGAATTGGATTCTAAAACTCTTAAGTTAGCCAGTCTTGTAGCTCGTGAAATTCTCTGTCAGGTGAGGTATAGCTTAAATTCTTTTGTTGAGGTCTTATTTATAAATGGGACTGTAAGCTAGTAGAGTAGGCTAAATTAACCTTATTAGTACTAATTAGTCAATAACAGGAAGGAAAGAACAAAAATTTTTACATATTTTCTCGTAATAAATATTCTCTACACATTTCTCTGTTGATCTAGACAAGAACCAAGTTTTTATGATGAATGGAGAATGGACAGAAATTCTTTTAATAATAGTCTCTTGTTCAAAAACTTAACAATATTTTTTAAAGTAGTTAATTTTTTTCTCAGCCAAATAATGTCAGTAAGCCGAGAAATCTTTAGGGCATATACCTCGAAGTATCCTCTACAAACTGGGAATGTTGGGCGAAAATCTAAATGGAGGGACCATCCTTAATCAGTTTTAACTAACAATGATCACCATGTAATAAAACATAATCTACAACTACTCACAGAAAACAAATATAATTAGTTTTGAATTATTGAAGAGAGAACAGAGAGATATTGATAATTTTCTTTTCTACTAGAATGTAGACAAATTTTCTGTACCACTTTATTATCTGTAATATGATTATATTTTCGTTTTAGCTCGTTATTATTGGTTATGTACGAATTCGAAACTTTCTTTTTCATTCATTTTTCATAACTAAGTTCTATCATGAACATTTCTTCACCATAGTGACTAATGCACAATCAAATTCTTTTTTTTGTCCAAAATCAAGCTCACTAAAAGGTAACAGACAATTTGAAGTTGTTGGTGTTATTTATACAAAAATATTACCATAAAAATAATACGAAATTAGAAATTGAAAAATGGTCGATAATGCTTTATGTTTAAAAGCAAAATTATTTATTTTTGATATGTGCTCATTTGCATTCACTATGTCTGATGCTTTTATGTTTGACATGTCTCGCAATCGTCTACTTCTACATAAATTCAATGGCATTAATACGCCTCGTGTGTGATTTAAAGAAAATCGTCGAATTTTATGTTCGTTCGATGTTAATACGTATAATGTCATATTTGATCGTCGGGGTCGTGATCTCAATTGATGAATAATATGTCGAGCATTAATTATGTCATTTGATAATAATTGAATTGAATTATTTTCTTGATGATGATGATCGTGATCAAGATGATCAATTACAGGTGAATTCGTTGTTAATGATGTTATTGTAATTAATTTTTTCGAAGTATGATGCTTTATTATTGGAATAGCTTCAGTTGTTTCTTTAAAATCTAGCTGATCCTCGATGGTTGAGTGTCTCAGTTCGATTGATGCAACATTTGTCATTATTATAGCAGGAACATTTGAAATTGGAGATGCTTTATTTTTTACACTTAATTTTGATAGTGTTATTGAGTCTCGTACAACTTTGCTATTAATTGTCGCACTTGTTGTTATCAAGAAAGTCGATGCTGTGATGCCCGGTGATGTTGACGAATAAAAATCAGCTTCCTTATTCGGTTCGCCTGGTTGCAGTAGTTGCTGATTCGACTTGCCTGACGTATGCCTTGATTGCATACTCGTCATCCTATGATTCTGCAACGGAAAAAAAATAGTGAGTAAGAGTTAGACGAATGGAAAATCCAACAAACCTTCGGTGTAAACCAACTAGATGGAAATACTGGCAGTGTTGTTAATGCTTGATAATCGACTGTAATGACTGGTAATGTTGTTTGATTAAACTGATTTTCATCAGAAATCGTCGCGTGTTGAAAATAGCGATTAGTCGAAACACGAAAATGTTCTTTCACATTCAATTTTTTAACATAAATTTTGGTTGCTAATCTCTCTTTAAATACTGATGATATTTTTGCAGTTGATACTGTAGACTTTGATGGTCGATGATAGGTTCTACGAGAAAATTTCCATTTTCGTCGTACAGTCGTACTCGGTCGTGATGGTCTTGGCAAACATGTCACCTAAAATAAATAAAAACACTAGCTCTTATTGTAAGAATTATTATTTATTATTAACTTTTGCATATACGTACCAGTACTGCTGTTTCACATTTTTTTAAATCAGTATCGAATTCAGTTCCCTCAGGACATTCTCGGAGAACAGATCGTTGATAAACCGTACCCACATATAAACAATGCCAATAATGAAGACAATCATCGTAAAATGGATGATAAGAATCATCTTCAAAACCGTTACAATCAAATTCTTCGTTAGGTAGTGTTAATGTCAAATTAGAATAATACAATATGATTAGAATTATGTACGTTTTTGTCATAAGTTTTTCTTGTCAAATGGAACCGGAACGAAAAAATATCACTCAGTTTTATGTCGTTTAAGTGTTATTAGAACATGATTTTTTTAAAGAGTTGAAATGATTTTAAAGCTTTTTACAGGGATGAAGTAATAGGTCGTTAATGTAGTTTTTAATATACATCATGCAATAAATAAATCTTTTTATTAATCCACCTCTATAGAAGATCGTGTCTACATAGATGATACTGATTGAAAATATTTTTTTATGTTTCTCATATTAAAGCTTAATTGTTGAGCTTATCTAATTGAGTTGACATATACAATTGAACGTCGTCTGTGTGTACAAAAAATCATGTATGTTACGTCTTGTGTTTACTCAGAAGCAAAGGAGAACATTCAACAAATAAAAATGATGATCTTAGAATAGTAGTTGAAACAACTAAAAACATAATCATTTTAAATTTGATACATACTTATTTCGACATAATTTAGGTAAATACGTCTCAAGATACATATCAAAATTTGATGGTTTTTTTCTAGAGATACATCAACCGAGTGTTTTGCATATTCGGAATCAGCGCGACTAGTTACGTTGTACGGCGCAAAGATCTCGTTGAGCCCCCCTTCATTTTTTGGATCCGGTGACTCCGTTGGAGGTTTCATGGTATTCAAGGAGAAAAACACCTTACAAAAAACACGAGTATTAAAGACATCTATACGAAAACCTTGATTGTTCTGCCACCGTCTTAACTAAATAAGTTTTAAAGCACATATTTGGAATCAGCGTCTTCGTG